TGGGGAAAATATTTAGAAACAACGTAATAGACAAAGGACAATTGCTAAAATCTACAGAATTGTTCAAGCTTACAACAAGAGAAACAAACAAAGTAATAGCTCTCTGAGAAGGTGGGCAAAGGTTCTGAACAGATGCACAAATGGTGGCACTCGAATGGCTAATAAACCTATGAGGAAATGCTCCCAGTCACTAGCCATCCAGGAAATACAAGTCAAAACAACTCTGAGATACCACCTACTGCAAGTAACTGTAGCCCAATTAAAAGACCCTGAGAGTAACAAATGTTGGAGAGGATGGGGGGAGACTGGGACTATTATCCACTGCTGGTGGACATGTAAATACGTACAGCCACTGTGGAAGGCGATATGGTGATACCTAAAACAGAGGGCAATTGAACTACTATGTGATTCATCAACCATTACTGGGCACATACTGAAAAGAAATAAGCAATCAATCACTAACAGAAATTTGCTCCCCCTTGTTCATTGCAGCACTGTTCACAATAGCAAGAAACTGGAAATAGCCTGAATTCCCATCTGTCGAAGAGAGGATAAAAGAAAAGCAAAAAATAAAATAAAACCACATACACACACAATGGCATACTATGCATCTCTAAAAAACAGTGCTGAAAACATTAAAAACCTTGAGGCATGGAAGGATCTGGAAGACATTATGTTGAGTGAAATTAGTCTAGCAATAAAGGACCACTACAGTAGGAATAAGAAGCAGATCAGGCATAATCTCAGGCTTGTAGGGCTTCCAGTGTTCTAGAGCCTGCACAATGCCAACGATGCAAACACCGTCCACTCTAGATAAGTATTTTGTAGGTCACTTGGCCGGCCAGAGAGTGCCTCAAGTCAGCTGGGATCAAATGGTCCATGAAGGAGGGTTAGGGGGATGCTGTCTGCTGGCTGGCTGCCATGTGGATCTGTGGTGGGGTCCCCTGGAGAGGGACACAGACTGAGAGATGGACAACAGGAAAGTGGGTGAAGGGAGACGTCGGACAGTGTAAGATATGACAAAATAATAATAATTTATAAATCATCAAGAGTTTATGAGGGAGTGGGGAGTGGGGATGGAGGAGAAAAAATGAGCTGATACCAAGGGCTTAAGTAGAAAGCAAATGTTTTGAGAACGATGATGCCAACAAATGTACAAATGTTTTGACACAATGGATGTATGTATGGATTGTGAAAAGAGTTGTAGGAGCCCCCAGCAAAATGAATTAAAAAAAAACTTTATTCAATCATTCTATCCAATTGATCTATGGAAAATATGGAATATTTATTTCAAAGTGATTATTTTCCCATCCATTATCATTTCTAGAAGGAGATCTTTATTCCTTCTTCACTATGAGAAGTCTAAGAACTCCATAGTTCTCCTAATCTCCAGTGCACAGATTAGTGGGGAGGGTTTCTAAAATTGTAGTCAATAGGTGATTAATCACTCTTTTACACAATCCCCTTACAGCCAGTCATCAAATCTACAATTTTAATATTCTTCTCAGGCTATGTTCCTGGCTCTCTGGATTTACCTTTTTTTTGAAGGGTATAAATGGGATTTCTGTTTAGCCCTGAGAACAGTTCTATATAAGTCAATAATTTTTGGTTCCTTCAATTTTTCTTCTTCTTTCTTAAAAAATTCCTATTTTAACAACAGAATTAACTTTCATCTTCTTTACTTGTTGGAACTGAAACTAAAGTTCTAATTATGTTTTCAATGATGATATCAATAGCCTACACATTAAAAACCAACTGGCTATTAAGAGTTTGTTAATTTATTTATTCACATAAATCTTTTATCACCAATCATTTGACAAAAATGTTCCCTGAGGTAAATTCTGCATATAATTATGATATAACTATACGTGTTGTTGTTGCTGTTGTTGTTGTTGTTTTAAATCATAATGGACAATACAGTAATTGATGTAATGCTTAACAAAGGGATGAGAGCCACAGACTAAATATATTTTCCCTTAGGATTTCATGTGGAAATAATAAATTGGCCTAGGGCCATTGAAACAATAGCTTTGGTGTATTTTACTTCTTTGTTTTGCAGAACTCTGCTTCATTATAGGAAGATGAATGGTAACTACAAAAGCTGTTCAGTCGAATCAGTTTTCTTCAAATGAGTAAGTAAGGGCAATTTTCCTCAATTAAAAAATAGTTATGACTTTGTAATTTACTTAATGCATGCTGCAATTAAAATGGGAAAAAACAAGCAATTTATTAACCTAGAAAAAAAATCATTTAATTTACATGCTCTATAAAGTAACGCTTGTGGCACAAACGTCAAATACCCAAGTGTTAACAAACTGTCAGGAGTAGGAGGCCACCAGCCATTCCGCAGGAGAAGATGTCACCGTCTGATTCTGTGAAGATTACAGCCTTCACATTCACATGGAAAAGTCCTACTAAGACGTGCTGGAGTTCTATGAATTGGAATCAAGTCAACGTCAGGGGGGTTTGTTTGGGTACTTATTGAGCTACAATATAATTTACTTGCATATGTGGAAAGTTAGCATGTATTATAATAGGATGAGACACAGCAGAATTAATTCATTTAAGATATAAAAGCAGTTGTCTTCCATATATTTCTCAATTTCATTTTCTATTACATAAAATGCAGTGCCCAGTCTAGGGTAGATCAGAGCAACTGAATCATGCATTAAATAATATATTGAGATAAATATCCCAAGATTTTATCATCGGTGTTAAGAGAGTTACCTGAGAGACTTTTTCAAAACCTAAATGCAACATTGATTGCTAGATACCTGTGACCAATTAATTTTAATGATAATCACAGTCACTAAATTCATAGACTCATTTCTCAAAATACATTTATAACTATTAAAGTTAAGAATATAACATTAAAGAAAATGATAATTTGGTGGTTGATTAAATTTTTTCATCATGGTTCAAAAGTCAAATTGGAAGAATCTTAGTTAAAGAAATTTACCACCAAATTGATGTATTTTTGTTGATTTCTAAATTTATTGTCATACTTTAATATTTTTATATTGTATGTTATAATCACTAATTAAATTTTTATTAAAATATGAGACAATTATGAAACTTAGTTTTGACTGATTAGGGACAATATGTTTCTTCATTTCCTCTTATTATATAATAATAAATTGGAATAAAAAACACATACAATGTATGATTTCTGAAACTATCAAAATATCTTAGGCTAAGAGGTTTGTCACATATTTTGTAAAGATGTATTTTAATGAATTAATTTATAAAATTTCCTGATGATTGAAATACACGTGATCTTATATTTAAGTGCAAATATGATTAAAGTTCTTGAAACTGTTCGTTTGGTTTTTAATTTTGTATATTCTACAAATCTATGTTGTGTTAGAGGGTTGAGAAATCCAAATGAGTTTTAAATGAGAGAACAAAGTCATGGAAGAGCTTGGATGACACGGTTTTTTTTTTGGCTTGGAACTTGATCTTAGAAAAGTAATATAAGCTTAGGTATTTCTTAGGTATTAAAATATATCTAGTTCACCCAGAAACTTGTATGCATTCATTTGTCCTTTCATTCACCCATCCAGTCACTCATTAATCAACTAATGAGATAATTTTCTAATCCAGTTTCTCTGCTACGCCACTCAAAGTAAGTAGTAAGTATGATAGATGCTCTTTCTGTCAACAAAGAAACAAGCATGTGTTCAGTGAAAATGCATAATAGACTTTTAAAAGCCTATTCCAAAAGCTATAATATCTGCTTTGTCTAATTCTCTTTATAAAGTATATATTGTTCATTTAGTTTGGGGAAACTAAGTCACTTATATTTACAGTTAGGATATTTTATGTTTTACACATCACCTCCAAAACAAAAATTAGCTTAAATTTTTATGTTAAAATGTCAGCATTTTTAATTTTCATTACATATTTGTTCTCAAAACAAAATTATTATGTAGACCATGCAATATACTTTCTTGTGACCTATATTGCTTCAAACGTTATATTATTTCTGGAATAAAATCTAGAATAAAAATATATATATAAAGGAAGAAAAGTCTTGTGGTATTCTAAAAATTACATAAAGATATTGCTGCTGAAGTGTCATCAGTAGGGACAATGATATAATTTTACCAATATTGAAAGAAGTTTTCATTGAATAATGTATTTTTTACAAAGGACCACTTTATCTTCACTATTCATTCATGCAACCCATTAAACAATTAGCTTTCCAGATTCCACTTCCACCAGGGAATTTACTTATTTGATAGGATCAGTTACAACAGTCAAAAAAGATGTTTCAAATAATGCCACTTACATAACTTTTCTCATGTTTCTTAAAGGTTTTCTCAGTCTATATTCATAAGCTTTATTTTGATTCCAACTCATGCTGACCCATTGATTACAGAGTCGAGCTGCTCCAATGCCTCTTGGCTGCAAGCCTCAAGGAACCCAGTGCCTGCGCCTTTTCTCTGGGAGGCCTCTTGGTCAATAGATGAAAGGAAATCATTTGTGCCCAATGAAACCTCCCAAGTGCCTTCTTAGAGAACATGTTTTGTTCTTCCCTTCTTGGAACATGTCACATTACGGAGATGGTCGGGTTGTCAATAGAGTTTTAATCAATTAAAAGCAGTGCCTTTTTTCGTACTGAACTTTATTCTAACCTCTCCTTGCTTTGTTATAAGGTTTATTGGTAAGTAAGGTCAATAATTGACACAGATCAGTTCATTTTTTAGGCTTAATGATCATTATCATTATGGACATTTACTGTACTTGTTTTGGGATGATACTCTTTCTCTTGATTTGACAAATGTCATATCCCGGATGGTCTCATGAGTCATGAGTGAAATCAGGTGAGAGTAAAACATATTCATATATAAAAAACAACAAAAAATTATGCACAGGGGAGAAATTAGATGTGAAATACTGAAAAATGGCGAATTATTTCATTCAGTGTAAGTATGAATAGATGGTGAATAATGCTTTTTGAAACTGTCCCCAAAGCTGCCGGTTGGACGTAAGTGACAATGTCATGGCAGAACAACCAGACTTCAGGGAGTGACTTCATCCTCTTGGACCTGTTTCGTGGCAGCCAGGCTCCCTGGCTCCTCTTCTCCCTCACTGTCTTGGCTCTCCTTGTGGCGCTGCTTGGCAACACTGCAATAATCATCCTCATTCAGGCTGACCGTCGCCTACACAACCCCATGTACTTTCTACTCAGCCAGTTATCCCTCATGGATCTCTTTTATATCTCTACATTTGTCCCCAAAATGGCCCTTGCCTTTCTGTCTGGGAACCACCACATCTCCTTCATTGGCTGTGGCACTCAACTTTTCCTCTTCATGACGCTGGTGGCCGCAGAGTGCCTCCTGCTGGCAGCTATGGCTTATGACCGCTACGTAGCCATCTGTCACCCCCTGCGCTATCCCATTTTCATGAGACCATCAGTCTGTGTGCTCATGGTTGTTGGGTCCTGGCTGGGTGCACTGATCAATGCCTTGATTCACGTCATCTATACAATGACCCTTCCTTACTGCACCTCCAGGGAAATCCATCATTTCTTTTGTGAGATTCCAGCCTTGTTGAAATTGGTCTGTGAAGATACTTCCCAATATGAAAAAGGTCTTTTTGTTAGTGGTGTTATTTTTCTCCTCCCTCCCATCTCAGCCATCATGGCATCTTATGGAAGAATATTGTACACTGTATTAAGGATAGGCTCAAGCATGGGCCTCAGGAAAACCCTGGCCACTTGCTCTTCTCATATGACTGTTGTGTCTCTATTCTATGGAGCTGCAATCAGCAAGTACCTTCTGCCAAAGTTCTACCATTCACCTGAGCAGGACATGGTCGTGTCTGTCTTCTACACCATCCTCACCCCTATGCTCAACCCTCTCATCTACAGTCTTCGAAACAAGGACGTTGCTAGAGCCCTTAGAAAAGTTCTCAAAAGCTAAGTACTAAGAAGGAGTTCCCTACTTTTCAATATTTTGAATGAAAGCATTTACATTTAAGCAGTGGATTTACATATAGATAGATCGTGCTATAGATGCATTTCATGGATATATGCTTTAGCAATCAGGCATTTTGAGAAATAGTGGGTACACACACACACACACACACACGCACACACACACACACACACACACACATACACATACCTCACTCACTCACTCATTACATTGAGTTGATGCTGACCCAAAGTGTGACCCTATAGGACAGATTAGAGTTTGCACTTTTGTGGTTCTGGACTGTTAATTATTTACTGGAGTAGAAAAACCTGTCTTTCTCCCTCTGAGAGGCTGGTGGTTTCAAACTGCCCACCTTGCAGGTCACAGTCCAACTCATAACCATTATGCCATGAGGCCTCTTTATATAAACACATATATACAGAAAAACACTGCCCTCAAATGTATTCTGTCTCATAGCAACCTCTATTCAATGACAGACTAGAAATGTCCCTTTCAGTTCTGAAGCTGTATATCTTTAAGCAAGCAGAAAGCATCCTCCTTTTACACGGGAGGTTTAACTGCTGACTTTCAGGTTAGCAGCCAAACACACAACCCATGCTGTGCCTCCTTGGTATGAAAAAAGATTAGGTTGTCCACTTCAGAGGAA